ACAATGCGAGGTGGATGGATTACTATGTAAAAGTTGGGGGAAAGGGCAAGAGCAACTGCGCTACGCAGCCATCTTGTCTGCAGGTCATGTGCAACTCTCCAAAATACAGTAATTTTCTATAATTACAATACAGTTTTTAATGTTTTTTGTCTTTTTTTTATTCATGTATACAAGATATCTGTCAATTAACAAACAAATCCATGTAATATTATACAACAAATACTGTTTTACTGTTAATTGTCACAAATTTTACATAATTTTAGAATTGTATTAACAAATTAAACTTGATTTTACCAGTTTAATCCATTAAATAAACAGTAAATATCTGCAAAAAAATTATAGATTTGCAAATTTATTTTAACTTTTTACCTGAAAAAAATTATTTAAAATTATTATTTCAAAGATTTAAAAAATACAGAAAAAATCTGTAAAATAAACGGGAAAGACTCTGTAAACGTACAGATCTTGTTTTACAGTGTATAAAGTAAATATATTGTGCAACCCATCGTTTATACTCTAACCTGGTCTTTAAAAGGGGATTCACAAATGTTATTTTCTGTCATTGAAGGAAGGAACGCCACATTTTCTCTCTCGACATCTGCTGCTAATCCTCTCCGGGCTTGAGACCCCGTTTCATCCCGTTCTACCGCCTCTATTGAGATTTAATTTAATTTATCACTTGTAATTTGTGTTTCCCTCCAGTAAACGCCTCGAGCCTGGCAGTCGGTCTCTTCAGAGGGCCGCACTGATTATGTATGCTACATGATACTCTAAGCACTCAGGCTGTATCGTCTTCTTCTTTATGGCTCTTGTTGTCAGTGGATGAGTCACTGTAACTCTCCTCTATGAGTTTGGAAGTGTTTTTATCTCCTGTCCTTCAGTTTCTGTCCAACAGGGACAGGAAGTGCTGTTTCAGGTATTTTCAGGTGTTCTTAATGGTATTTTAGAGTTTCCTGATAATCAATAAAAGTATTTGATGACTCATCCTGCACTCGGGGGCGTACACTAATGCTGCGTCCAATCAAACGCTTTCTCTCTTCTGACGCAATCTATGACAATCATTAGCTAACTAGTTATATCTGAAAGCAAATGCTAGTTAATTAACAACTGATGCAAATTTGTTTAATTAACACAACTTCATAACTTTATAACTTTATTCAGGGATTTTGGTGAAACTGATTTAGATTTTATGGAGAAAATAATTTCGTAATAAATTACAGATCCAGAAGATCCAGATGTCCGATGACTAAAATCCTTCATCTGGTTCAAATCTAGAGTTAAAAAGCCTCAAGATCTAAACAGTGGATGTAAAAATGTGGTTTCAAACTGGATATAAAGTCAATGTATGACAGCTTCTGGCAGGCAACCACAACGCTGACGCAGGCACAAAGGGGATATGATGCAATTGACAGGTGGCCAGTAAAGCTGGAGCAGCTCTCACTTGCTCATTCCCTGGACTTCATCTTCTCTCCATCCAAGAATACAACTCAACTACATACAGAACATAGCTCTAGTATTTATACATACATATATACATATAAGTCTGAATCCTCTCCTCAGCAGACATGTGATATAGTAGCACATGTAGGGCAGATCACGTATATTAATGTGGCACATTAGGATAATTGATCCACACATAAAGTGACAGACACACCCTCCCCGAGGCAGTGGGACTTTCTTCTTCTCCGACTCTCTTAACAGCAAGTTCAAACAAAGGATATAAATCTTCTAAAAAAATCAGTGTACATGTACCTCGGCTGAATCGTATTAGGGTCGACTGTCACGCTTGAACATATAGTTTCAGTAATAGCTCCTCTTTGTAATCCGGAAAGCAACACACACACCGCAAAATACACACAGAGGGGTTATAGGATGGAGGGAAAGAAGCAATAATGGGAGGCCTAATAGCAGCAGCTCTGCCACATCTGGCTTACCAGGGGCTATTGAGGTGAATAATTTAGTGTTGTGAAAAAGCAGAGACATGGTCTTGAATGCAGAAGCAGAAGAATGCTGCAGATCCATTCACAGCTATGGTGTTAGAAAACATGCTGCTTTTTAACTTAAAAAGGGGATTTTCTGAGGGACACTTGAACTGAATATATTGATATATTCTTCTGCAAGAGACTCCAACGGGAGAATATTTCATCCTGTGCAGTTCTTAAAAACATAAGTATCTGTGGGAGAATGAGTTTTTACAGTTTTAAGCAGTGTTTTATCTAAGCAACAACCTCTGTGGCTGCAAATGAATCAAACAAAGTACCAAAACATGCAGTTCCTCTAACGGCCCCTTGAGGCAGCAGTGAGTAAGTCTCCATAAGGCCCCATATTTGAATGTCCAACTTTACAGCAGAAATAAACATGGTTTTGGTCTTGGTAATTTACCCGTTCATGACAGCAGTGCGGGGCTGGCATGATCCTGATGACTAATTTTGCCATTGATTAAATAAATTTAAATCTAGACTAGTCGACCCATTTAAAAGTAAGAAAACACTCAGAAAACAGTTAAATTGATCAGAGTTTAAAGAGTAATCACACAGTCAGTCTTCACTCACTGTTAGCTAGCTGCTACATCCTGTTCATATGTTGTCCAGATTGATTGATTGTAAAGAAAATGAAGAGATGTTGATGTTATCAGCCAGAGATTGATCACTCTCATTGATTGATGGTTATTGATAACCTGATCCATGAGGCCTTAGAGGTTTTATTGGAGATTGTTTTCACTGCTGGCTGGATTTACTTTGTGATGAGAACCACAGAACAGACCTGATGAAGTGACAGAGGATAATGTTACAGCTTTGAGGGAGTAGGTAGACTAACGCTATGTTAGCTAACTGTCAGTTAGCAGATACAACGAGGCTGATAGCTGCCTTATAATGTGATTAATGTCATCCTACCTTACCATACTCTGGATATACTTTTTATTTTAAAAATTTGACGTTTTATCTCAGAATTTTTTCTTTATCTCATAATGATTTCCTCTTTCCCCTGAATAGTGCCATTAGATTAGTTGTGTTAAATCAGCTGCTAGAATCCCTAAGTAGACCCCAGTAAAACAGGTCTATTTATTGCTAATCTCTTGTTCGTATTCACAGTAGAATCCTGTTAGATCTTCCACTGATGCCTGAATGATCCTGGAAATATTCAGTTTTCAACAGAAACACTTCCAGCGGCTCCAACCAGGACTCTGACTCTGGTAGATGAAGACCCGGCGGGTTCAGGCAGCGACAGAAGAGGAAGGAAACGGAGGAAGAGGAGCCAGTTTGTAGCCAGTTAATTAGTCAGTAACTGTTAACGTTATCAATCATCCATCGTATTGATCAGTCCACCAGGATTAGTTTCTGTGAAGTTGGAAGTTATTTATTCAGTGTGTTGAACAACCAGACTGTGTGATTTTACACTGTGTTGGAAAAAAATAACTAAATGTTCAGTCTCCTTGCGCATTCACAATCATTACTGCTGTTTCTGTTAGCATCTAACAGGTTAAACTGTTCACATACAGAGATTATAATCAATACAGTAATATCAGAAACCTTACAACTAGTCGACTAGAAAAATCTTTAGTTGAGGCAGCCCTCCCTTGTTTAAACAGTGGGTGGACAGCTTCAATGTTTGAAAAAATGCCACAAAAGTGCCCTGTTTGATGCCCCTATGGTAGATAAAACACAATAAAGTGCCCTAATTTTTTTCACCCTTGCCACTGAATCCATGGCCTGAACTAGAGGATGAAAATTGATCAGTGCAATAACATCATTTGCATTCAGTCACTGTGTCCCTGTTGAACACAGTCCTTTAGTGTGGTCCGTTTGGCTCCATTGCTCCGGATCAAACACCCTAATACATTTGTAAAGCTCACACACTATCACATAATCTCCTCTGACTATCTGTCCCGAACAAGCCGCCAATTAGGAATCCCCTCTCAGATTGTGCGGATGGGCAAATCTGGTGTAAATTGGCTTGATAATCCTCCAGAGCGTCCCAGCCCGGCTCCAACAAAAACACGTTAAAGGGGAGAGGGGGAGCAGCTCTCACCGCACTGGACAGTATTTCAGTGGGATGCATTAATATAGTTGGATGCAAATTGTTTAAATCTGGTCCTCGTTCAGGAGAGATAAGGTGAGATGGATGTTTGCTCTGCTGCAGTTATCAGTGCACAAGATCTAATTAACAGACGTAATGAGTGTAAAGATGAACCTCATTGGACTCTCTGTGCTGCCTGCCTTCAGATTCATACGACATTTTTAAACTACCGGCTTCAGAATCAGAAATACTTTATTGATGTCTAATATAAAAATAATAGAATAAAATAAATAAGTTGTAAAGATATCTGCATTATACTATAATGAAGAAAAACAGAAAATATGTAAAAACATATATACTACAATATATAGCTATAATATATTCTTTATAATATAAATAATATATAAATAAATAGTAATAATGCTGAGAAACAGCTCTGACTCAGTGTTTAGGTCTGTTAGCTTTTAGCTCCGTTACTAATTCAACTGGGAAGTGGAGCAGACCCAGTGTTAGCTACAGCAGGGGTACCAAGGCCAGACAGAGGGGCAACAACAGAAGCTGTTTTTATTGCTCTTTTGTCATGTCATTGGACTTCAGAAAAGATCCCTGAGATACTGAAATGATGCTGGTTAATTTTGTCGTACTGTAATATCAGATATCAGCTATAAGATCAGTTATCAGTAATAATAGCTCATAACTTTTTATAGTCCTCCTCTGTCACAGTTTATAACGTCATAAACAAACCGTACAGTTGTGATATTCACTGACCTCCAGTAAAAACTACAGAACACAACAGAACCTGGCGATAAAGACGGAACGAAAAGGCGAAGCAACAGTAAAATAATGGGTTTGATTTTTAAATGTGTTTTAGGTCATAAGACATTTTTTAACATTTTGTTCTACAACATTAAATCCATCAGTAAATTTCCCGTCTGTAAGTGCTGAAGTTCGGTGTCTCTTAATATAAATGTATATAAACTCACATTGAGCTGCAGGGTCTCGGTCCACTGTCCAATCACTCGGTACCCGGGTCCGGTGAAGTTGTTCCACTGGTACTGAAACAGATCGTAGCGTCCAGGAGCATCCCCGTTACGGTTGAATGTCACTGAAGTACCAGCACTCCCTGTGGAAGACAAATTAAACAATGAGTCACATTATCACTTAATCAGACAAACTATTTTCCATCTAAATTTACCACAAATTTCCAGAAAATGTCAAAATAAAACAAAGCTTCAACCCTCTGTGATTGACAGAGTTTCCTGATGGACAGATAGCTTTAGCTAAAGTAGCTAACCGCTAATTAACTGCTGCTAACTGTATCTGCCATTAGCGGGCAACAGAACCGGGCTCAGCAGACGGACCGGGATCGAACACAGCCTCTAAGACCTGTCGGTAGTAATAACGTTACAGTAACGAGGTCATTTACAGAATTTCTGATGGAAAGATTGATCAGTAGCCAACCGCTAACTGCTGTTAGCTCAGTCACCCGTGCAAGCTAACTGACGTTTTTATAAAAACACATATTGCAAAGAGAGAGAAGTGAGTCAGTGTAAGATTGACTGTGAATGAATATGAATAAATGAACAATCTGTCAGTGGCTAGTTTTGATTCCATTCGACTTTCTGTTATTGTTCCTCTGTTCTTTGTCCCCTCACACACTGTTTATTTACTGTGGCCGGCCTCCCTCTGGTGCCAGGAGTCCCTTTCAAGTCTGTATTTAATTTGGAGTGAAAGGGAGACAGATAGTGCTGAGCTTCCTCTCTTCAGTATGAAATAGAAAGATTTCCTCAGGTCAGAAATAACTGCTTTGGTTATAACAGCTTCTTTATTCATAGTTATTTCTCTGAAGTTGGAACCCTCTCTCTCTCTCTCCGTGTGTTTCCTCCTCGTCTTCCTCACATAACGTTTTAATGCAGAGCTCTTCCAGTGTAATGATACATTATTCCATGCATTATTCCTCTGAGTAAATTAATACAGTCGAATTGTTTCCTTTTGCCTCAGTTAATTTGCACGATGTATGCCGTAATAATTATTGTAATTTGACTAAAATAAAAATGTATTAAACTGAAATATCAGTCAGTGTGTGGAACTGAAGTCCTGCCAGTCTCTAAAAGTTTCCCAAATGATCAAAACCAGCCCAAAACTATTCATACAGCTCAATTAAAACGTAACACTGACCTAAACTCAGATATTCTGTACAGTTTAATCTCTTTTCAACCGATAACCTCAGATAATGACACACATATTGTCTGAGGTTTCCACTGTACTAAAGGTTGTAGATTCAGCTGCAGGAAGTCATTTTACATCCTGCTCTCAAACTGATCATTTGTTCATTGCTTTCAGAGAATTACTTTTTATAAAAATCAACTTTATGAACATTTTCTCTGACAGGTAAAGCAGCAGAAAGTAAAGAAACTGAAGAAAACGGCTTCAATGCTTTGATGTAAAACACATCTAATATTCAAATCCTCAAATCTGATCTCACTTATCAGAAACTGGAGACTGAAAGCAATTATATTCTGAGAAGTGGAGCACTTATCACAAATCTAAAACTGGTTCGTGTCGGCTCTCAATCCAACATGTTTCAACACATCTGTCAGTGCAGTCACAGCTGATGATGAGGACGAAGATGAGGAGGATGGTTTGTGTGTCTGAGTGCTTTGTAGAGGAGCAGAGAGAGGATATAAAGTGTCTGTCTGAAGTGGAAAGCATTAACGGATACTGTACATACAGGTAAACGTTGCATGGAGCCTTTTATTGGCTCTCTGTGCTCCTACTCCTTTTTTATGGCAGAGTTGAATCATAGATATATTAAGGCGAAGACAGAAGGAAAATAAAAGAAAAATGAAAAAAGAAGAATTTATGGGTGAATACAACAGTCAAACATAAAATGTTTTAATACATTTTATTTGATGGAGTTAAAGCCCCAATGAAACAATAAGCAGAGTGCTGTTTGCTTTCTCATATTTACGTGTTCCCTGGAAAAACAGACCGAAAAACAGTCATATGCCTTGTGTCTACAGCACCGACATTTTCCCTGTATCTACAGCACTGATCTCTGTGCTGTATCTACAGCACTGGCCGCCGGCCTCCATCTACAGCACTGACTTCCACCCTGAATCTACAGAACTGACCTCCGCCCTGTATCTAAGGCACTGACATCTGTACTGTATCTGTCCCGTCCTCTGTAACTTCGGTGTTGTTGTACAGCTAGGGAGGGACTTGTCTTGGAAATTGATTGGTGCTGAGTGTGTGTTACATCCTCACTGCTATGAAGCTAGTGGTATGAGCTAGCATCAACGTCTACCTTGAAGTCACAGCTGGACCAAGGACCGAACACAATCTCTGAGACTGCTAACAGCAGATACAGTGAGCAGCAGTTAATTGGTGGTTACTTTTATATTTTCTTCATAAAATCTGATCCAATTTCACCAAAATCACTTAGTACAGTTATAAAGTTGAGCTAGCTAATGTAGCTATAAAGTAGGTCTTTGTACAGTACTCAGTGAGGCCATAGATGTCTGTACCACATCAGCCCTCAGAAACACTCCGCTCCGGCAGCGTCATAAGAGAGAAAGCATTTGATTGGACGCAGCATTAGTATACACCCCCTAGTGCAGGATCAGTCATCAAATATTTTTATTGATTATCAGGAAACTCTAAAATACCATTAGGAATACCTGACAATACCTGAAACAGGACTTCCTGTCAGTGTTGGACACAACAAGATATATGTGATAAAAACACAAAAACATTCATCTGGACTTCTTATATCTTTTGATATATCTGTTTAGCTGAATAGAAACGTGACGGTGTTTCATCAGCACTCAGTCAGCAGAGAGATAGACTGACAGCTGGGATCACAAAGAAACTGATTGTCAATTTAAAAAGAGAGCAGACGTTTTAAAAGCCGATGACGGAGTCTATGTGGTGTCGGTTTGGTGTTGGGTAGCTCAATTATTAATTCCTGCCATGACCAGACAACTGCTTCAGATCAATACTCGGGTTAATAGCTACCAGAGGCAATGCACACCGACCTCTTGATATAAAATGTATTTTGTATCTCAGTCGATATTCGGCTCATGTTTGTTTCAATTGGGATGAAAAGAAAGAGTTCTGAATTCCTTTTTTTTTAAAAAACAATCAATATATTGTGATCGGACTGAGATACGCTGTTATCTGAGGAATATGATCCATTTCTTTGGAAACACTGAGGAGGTGAAGGCACCAGCAGCTCTGTTGTGGGCTGATTTCTGTTCTTTTTGTAATTATTAAGACACTAATAAATGGTGAGTGAGCAGTTCAACTGCCACTCTCATTTTAAATTAGCACATTGCAGGCTTTGCTAATTAGCTGATAAAAGAATCTCTCTGGAGGGGAAGATTTCCAAGGCTCTGTCTCATGCATTAAAACTATAAAACTATGCAAATAATATGACGAGTAATGCAAATGAAAACTGCAAATAGCTTATTGTAAAAATGGAATCATGTCATTTACATAAGGTGCTAAATGGTTATTGTTCATCATCCATTTGACAATAATACCCAAGTTACAGGATAGATACAGGACAGAAGTCAGTGCTGTAGATACAGGACAGAGGTCACTTTAAGTTAGCTTGTTTTGTCATCATTGTCTCGCATTATTATGTTGTATTTTTTTAAATGTATATATATTAATTCAATCAAATCTTTATTAACTTTCTATGAAAAACAATGAGTATAATTTTTTTAACTTCACTAAAGCTTATGAAATAAAATTAATATTAATTATAATAATTGTTATTGTTACTATTATATGAATCAAATAGACAGTACGGACCTCTGACCTGCATCTACAGCACTGACCTTTGCACTGTATCTATGACAGAAAATGGGTCCCTTAAGGAAAACAGTTGGGAACCACTGCCCTAGGGTTAATGGTTAAATCACATGGGGCTGCAGAGAGACCACAAGCTTTCCAAAACTTTAACTAAATAATCTTGACACAGCCATAAAACACTTTCAGTAACGCTTTACTTCCAACATGTGTTAAATAACATCTGTTAATTATGTTGATAAAGAAGATAATCCATTATGTTCCTTTCTAAATGTATTTGACAAAAGAAGAAAACAATTTTTTATTTTAGGAGAGAGGTTTTAACACAAACCTCCCATCCCTTCAGCTGGAGGCTGCCAGACTAAAGACAATAATATCACAAAATAGTCTTATAATACTGTTTCATTTGCATTTTGGCTGCAGAGTGAAACGTCTTCGAAGGCCAACTACTCGCTCATAAAGGAGCCCCGTCCTCCGTTGTGTGGGTGGAAACACTGCCTTTAATTACTGACTTCATTCTGGGGCAATAAAAGTCTTAATTATTGCCCCTTTAAGGCTGAGGACGTATATCATCTCACCTGTTCACAGACGTTCTGCCTCAGAAATACTCATTTGATTCTATCTTTATTAATTAATGCAACTCCGGACACATTTTCCGCTTTATTGCTCTTTTACTTTTTACCCTGAGAGTAATTATGTTGGCTATCTCTACAGGAAATAGCTTGAATAGATGAATTATGCTTTATATATATATATATATATATATATATATATATATATATATATATATATATATATATATATATATATATATATGAGGGCAGTGTGTCACATGATTTAAATTAGTTCAATTCCATAAAGACCCGTTTCTTCAAGCACAACTGTGACCTAAATTCGGTGTATGCTTTTCTCCTTTGAGAAAACAATAGCCAGCTGCACACTTTAACTCCTCCACATGCTGAATGTGAACTGTAGAAGTCTAATGACCCATTTCCACTGTTTCATATCCAGATGAGGTTTCAGATAAGAGAAGCTTTTATTGATGCCCAGTAGGGAAATTCTTCTATTCTTCTGATCATAATCCGGCTTTGTTTTCTGGGCTACATCAGATTTAGAATTCTGATTCATGTCCTCCAGTCCAGAAGGAGGTGCTGGTTCTGATGCTGGTAACTGATGAATTGTAGAGACTGTAACTCTCCACTGGAGTTGTTTCCTTGCACTTTAATGAGAGAAAGACTGATTTCAGCTCTGTTATCAGTAACACCCTGTAGAGGTTACAACCACACACTATTTATTGACACAGTTACAGTTGGATGACTGTGTCTACAACACTGCCCTCTGCCCTGTTTGTACAGCACTGACTTCTGCCCTGTATCTACAACACTGACCTCTGTCCTGTATCTGTCCTGTCCTCTGTAACTTAGGTATTATTGTCAATCAATCTAAAATTCTTTGACTTTACTCCAACTTATGAAATAAAGTTAATATTATTCAGTATTGTTACTATTATATGAGTCCAATACACAGTAGAGACCTCTAAACTGCTCTCATTGGCAGACTATCACAACTTTATTGCTCGTATAAAAACACAACTTTATCATGAAGATTGATTAATGGATGGATGTCATATTATATACTGAAACTGGTTAATTTTTACATAAGTACACCTCATATTTAGTTTTACAGGAATTAAAATAAATACAAAGAAATCAATATTTTTGTAAATGTTTTGGCATACTTTGTTAAATAAACCTTTAAGATCACATCCTAAGGGTTAATTTAATATGGACTTTAGTTTGTCTTTCATGCAGATGTTCAGTGTTATATAAGTGGAGCAGCACTGTGAGAGCAAACGGTAATAAGTGGTTCAAAGACACAGACTGCAACTGTATATGGCAGTGTTTCTCCTTCACGCTGTGTTTGGACTGGATAGATCATGAGCCTTGACCACTTCAGTCTACATGAAGGTGTTCTGGTGTTTGAATTTAATTACATTAAAAAGAGATTTTAAACTAAAAGAACTCCATATGAGGTACGATGAAGAGCATGTTATGACGGACGATAAAAGACAGTGATACAGAAGCCATTTTATGACACAATCTAGACAATTTAATGCAGTTTTATACCCAGAAGTGTTTTTATGATCAGTGTTAGTAGATTGTATCCCCTCTGAATCTGCTGCTGTCTCACACACTCGCTCATGGAGCATGGCCTCGGAGCGCAGAGCATAAATACGCTGCAGGAGGACGCAACCATCCGTCCACTCACCGTTGAAGCTGACGCTGCGGATGTACTTGAGTAGTTTCTTCCCCCCGGCCAGGTCCATCTCGGGGCAGATGCCAGAGTTCTCGGGACACAGGTCCCTCTGCATGTTGTGTAGGGCGTGGGCCATGGCGTACACTGCGTCGATCACAAACTGGACCTTGCCCTCCTGCTCGTACTTGGAGTCGATGCCAATACGCTCCTGACCTGAGAGACAGAAATAATCCAGACTCAGTTTACAGGTCCACATCCTTACCACAAAGACACATTTTATGTGTGTTATATGTAAGTCTTTTTACAACAAATGTCCACCTGTTTCAGACTGAAAGATCTCACACATTATGGATTCATGCAGATTATTTTCTCCATTAATCTATTGATAACTTGTTTGCTTTGTAAAAATGTAAAAAATGATTTGCTTGTTTAGTCCAACCAAAAGTCCGAACCTCAAAATTATAACAAATACATTGAAATTATTACAATCACTCAAAGGAAAATCAACAAATCTTCACATTTGAGAAGCTGAAAAATGACTGTTGACTTTCAGTCAGTCGACTACTTGTTTAGAATCCCTTAATGGCAGACATTTTGACTTCTCAAAGCACGTATGTAAACATTGACAATGTCCCTATTCCATTAGGTGAATTTTGCAATTGGCTATCAGGAGGCAGCTTTTATCACAAACAACCTTCCAAATGTGGTTGTCTTTTGAACATCGATTAGCCTAGCACATATATAAGTATGAGAAAGTTGAGGTTCAAAAAGGATTAGGAAGGATCAGCTGATTAATGGACTAATGTTGAACTCTTACTTTTACACACAAATGTTTGTGTGTAAAAATAAAATCTGTCAGATAAATGTAGTGGAGTTGAAGAAGAAAGTATAAGTTTTTCTCTGTGTTGTTGAATAATGGTGCACATATCGGTTTCCAGAGCTCATATTAGAGACAACAGCCAGGCGTTTAATTCTGTAGTTTTGCTGACTCGCAGCATTAACGTTAATTAGCTGCAGCTGATAACATCAGTCAGCTAAAAATGAGGAGGCCATTGTCCTTTGTCATGCATACTGACTCGAACCAAACCAGCAAACCAGACTCAAAAAACTCCACAGAACTGTAACGTAGGAGGTCAAAATGGTTGAGAAGCATGTTGTATTTTTAAATCTTATATGTTTTGTTTGTAAAATATGAATTTGAAAGTGTTCACATGCAGATTTCTTTGCTCACATTAATGATATATTCTGTACTAAAAGTAAAAGTAAAAGTGGCATTTCAAAGCGTGGAGAGAAGTGGTGAGACGGCCGCTGGGACCGACGCTGTTTGCTGGTTGGTGGTGAAGCCTGAGGGAGTGAAACCTGAGCCCGTCTCAGCAGAAAAGACAAGCGTGTCCAAAGTAATTTGCTCCCTAAACAGCAGCAGTTTGCATTCATTTAGAGTGATAACAGGATTATTGTGACTGCTGCGTCAGTGAGCTGGGAGGATATAGGCCTCTTATGAACTTCTGGATGGACACGTGGTCCGTGCTGATACGGTGGAGGTGCCGCACTGACTGCAGCACTCACTGTTGTTTCAAATGGTAAATATGTTTGGTTTAAATTAAAATAATCAGTAATCGATCTCAGTTTCACTTGGCACTGAATGGAGGTCATACCCAAAGGCTCTTCCTGTGGAAAGGTGAGAAATGTGTCAGCTGATATTAACCGAGTCAGTGCGTAACAATGTACTGATGGGACTTAAAGAAATAAACTAGGTCAGGTGAAGATTTTAACATTGCTAGCAGCAGGCTAACATTGCTAACAGCAAGATGACATGGCTAATAGATATCTACATCGCTAGTAGCCAGTTGACTGCAGCCAGCGCAACATACACACCAATAACCCTGATTCAATCATCCAGCTGAAGTTTGTCTTTAGTACTGAAACAGATATTAGGATGAATCTAGTTCTCCAGCACTCTATCCACAACGTCACCATTCACCCACAATGAGGCCATCATAGTTTCCATAATGAAAGAGAAACACAAGGAAGCTTCTGTGATGATTAAGTTGCCTAAATATACGTGATGACAATGAGAGGAAGAGAGGCAAATGAATGCTGACAATCATAAAGACAGTGGGGTAGATTGTAGCTTCGTGAAACTGCAGCACTAATCATTAAGATGCACAATTACTTCAGTATTGTTCTTGCTGTGTTTCATGAGACTGGTGGAAACATTATGCAGCAAAATGCAAAATAACCGAAGCAGTTTAAGTGGCAGCAGCTGCAGGGTCTCTGCTCTCTTCAAGATATTCTCACTTTAAAAGTGAGAATAGTTCTTCTGTGAATTTATTACATTACGACGTGGTTCATGCAGATGCAGAAGAGTTTCATCATTTACTGAGAGAAGCCTGAGTATGAGGTTTATCTGAGCAGTTTACAGTAATATTTACTCTTTACTTCTAACAGAAGAAGCCAGACAACATGGCTAACAGCCAGCTAACATGGCTAACAGTCAGGTAGTTATATTCTGTAATTGTTATCTCTTAATACAGTAGTTTTGAATGGTAGTGTAGTTATATAGTAATCTGAATCTAGCGTTAAAATGGCGGACTGGCACACTAACGAGGGGTTAGCGATGCAGCATTAGTATTTTGAATAGAATTTAAAATCCTCCTCCTCACCTATAAAGCTCTTCATGGTCAGGCCCCTTCATATCTTAAAGAGCTCATAGTACCCTATTACCCCTCTAGAACACTACGTTCTCTGAATGCTGGGCTACTTGTGGTTCCTATAGTCTCTAAAAGTAGAACAGGAGCCAGAGCCTTCAGTTACCAAGCTCCTCTCCTGTGGAACCAGCTTCCAGTTGTGGTTCGGGAGGCAGACACCCTCACCACATTCAAGAGTAGGCTTAAGACGTTCCTCTTTGATAAAGCTTATAGTTAGGGCTGGATCAGTGAATATCACTGATATTATTATTATTATTATTATTATTATTAATATTATTATTATTACTACAGTTACTGTCTGTATAAATGTCTGTCTCTCTCTCTCTCTCTCTCTCTCTCTCTCTCTCTCTCACCCCAACTGGTCGAGACAGACGACCACCCACCTAGAGCCGGAGGGTCTGTCCTAGGTTTCTGCCTTTTAACAGGCAGTGTTTCCTTACCCTTGTCTCCAAGGTCTTGCTCATGGTGGTACTGTTGGGTCTCTGTAATTAATGTTATAAAGAGTTCGGTCTAGACCTGCTCTATTTGAAAAGTGTCCTGAGATAACTTCTGTTATGAATTGGTGCTACACAAATAAAATTGAATTGAATGGATTTGAACACAACATTGCCTGTTGCTTCACAATAAAAGACTTCATCTGGAGAGATTGTATTGTCTTTTATTGTGAAGCAGCCACAGGAAACACAACGTAATGGAAGTCAGGAGCAAAAACAAGAATCCTATTATCACGGTTCATAAACAGCAGAGATTGGATGGTCTCAATATGCTGATGTGAGCTTTGTTTCTATGCTTCACATGAAGATCATCAGACTCTATGAAATGCATTCATCAATAATCATTTATCGTAAATTCCAGGAAAACAGCACCGATTGATTCATTCAGTCTTTAAAAGGTTATACAAAATTCAGTTGCCACTCGATGTCGCAGTAGAGCACCAGCATCTCGGACCAAAACAATGTGCACCAGACTCCATTCATGAAACCAGTAATTTTACCTCACAGATAAACGTAAACTCAAAATAAAAATGACTAAAACCGTCTTTGTTAGTCTTTCCAACTATGACCAACTCTGGTTTGGTTGAAATAAACCGATTTAGATCGGAAAATATTTGCGAAATGTCGCCTGTCGCAGTAAATGTGTCAGCTGATATTAATTACTGTGGGATTTAAATACACTAATAAACAAGGCAAAGATTTAGCAGATTGTACAATTGTTAGCGGAAGGCTAATATTGCTAACAGTTGGATAACATGGTTAACTTTATCTGGACAAACTGTGTTGTCTCTTATTGTGCAGCACCCACAGGAAACACAATGTAATGGAAGAATCAGGAACAAAAACAAGAATCCTGTCAGACGTGTCCCAGTGCAGAGTACTCATGCTTCATGCTTTTTGTATTAAAAATAAATTAGGCCTAAAAAAGGAGTGAATGTGGTTTTCAGTGAAACACATGAAGGAATGTTTAAACCTCACCCAGTCTGTATGTGTGAATACCCAGCAGGCTGTGCACTTAATTAGTCAGTATTGTCGGTGTAACGGAGAGAGGAAGACAAAGGAGCAGCACATGTTTCAGTGATCTGATGTTCCGTGGCTGCAGCAGCGTCGGAGCAAATATATGAGTTCATTATGATCATATGTGCACATGAAAGAGAGAGCAAGCAGCAGAGGCTGCTGGGAGTTTGGATTCACCCCATTAACTCTCCTGTGTCTCCTGCTTTAATGCAGCATCCTCCTCTTTCTCTCCTGCAAACACATTCAGCTCTGATGCAGGTTATTAACTTATCAATCAAAATACATTTCACCAAACTATGTAGAATATAATGTATATTTTATTAATGTTATAAAAGCTTGTTGTCACAGTGGACTTAAAGCAGTCGTCCTGTAAACTGAATCATGTGACGGATCAATGCTGCTGTTAATATTCACATTATTAAGTTATGAAAATCTGAATTTCAGTTGTTTTAAAAGTCTCAAAGTGCTCTGTTTTATATTCCAACACAGCTGCTATCTTAGCCACGCCTGCAGGTCTCTGCAGCAGAACTGAAGGGTGGAGCTACACTTTAAACCAGGAAGTTAGCATCGTCCTGGTCCTTTCCACATTTTTTCTGTGCATTTTGGAATGTTATAGAAATCTCTGTGGTGAAGGTTTCTGATACCGTTCATGTAGCATCAGACAGGCGATCAGTCTGCTGAGTGCACAGAGCCACGAGGACGATGTAGAAGGAACCAGATACGACTTGTTGGTTTTCAGTTTGTTGCTTTTGAATAAAAGTGTAATGAAGGAAGATCACATGATGACTGATGCTGCTCTGCTAATCTGCTTGTTTCTCACGCTGTTCTACATTTTATATCTTTGCGTTGTTCAGGGAGCGAATCAAATAATAACTGCCGACCACAGTCAAACTGTACAACTGACTGATTGTTGGAGCTGTACTGAAACATTGAGCGGAAACAAGCAATAGTGCGAATAAACGATTGTTTACCTGCCTGTAAGACTCTATACGGG